TAAATAAAGGAAAAATAATAAGTCTAATAACCTTGAAAAATCAAATGTTTATATCGAATGGTTAGAAAAGGCGAATTCTGATGAATATCTACGTCATTATGAATACTCGGAATTCAACAATTTACAACCAATAGGAAATGGTTCCTTTGGAAATGTTTTGCGTGCTAATTGGAAAAATCCGGATCGCTATTTTGCTTTGAAATCTTTTAATAATGATAATATAACACTGTAAGAAATTGTTATTGAGGTATAGAATTTATAATTATTTAAAGGTTTATTAAGAATAATAAAATAAAATTAATTCTTTTTATAGATAAAATTACATAATAGGGTTGATTTTCATCCAAATATTCTGCGATTTTATGAAATCACGAAGGAAGGAACCGGTAAATATTAGGAATTTATCATAAGAATTTTAATAAATTATTAAATATTCTTTATTTTACGAATAGCAAACACCAACCATCAAATAAACAAGTACTCTTTGGTTTTAGAATATGCTGATAGCGGTACACTAAATGCTTATTTAAATAAACATTTCAGTGCTTTCTTTACAATTGGCAAGTGCTGTAGAATGCTTAATCGATTGCAATATTGTTCATTGCGATCTGATAATTATTAATTTTTTTTTTAAAAAAATCGTTAATTTATTTTATCGACTAAATATTTCGTTCATTAATAAAACTAAAGCATGCAGATAATATACTTGTAAATCAGAAAATTATTAAATTGGCTGACTTTGGTTTATCTAAAAAAATTGAAGAGTCAAAGAATGCATCAAAAGTATTTGGTTTATTACCTTATATGGATCCAAAAATTTTAGATAAGGATTACAAATTAAATAAAAAATCCGTTGTCTATAGTGTAGGATACTTGATGTGGCAAATTTTAAGTGGATACCAACCATTTAAAGGAGTTAATTACGGTTTAACTCTGTCTATATTAAATGGAATGAGAGAAAAAATTATCAACGGAACTCCACCCGAATATAGTAATCTATATCAAGGTAATTAATACAAATTATCATTTTACTTTTATAAATATTTTCTAACCCTTATTCACAAATTAGATTGTTGGAAATACGAAATTGATGAACGTCCTGATATACAAAAAATCGTTTCAATTCATAAAACAATTATTTTTCTTGAACATAGTGAAATATTTGATGCAAATCTTATCTTTATTGAAGAAGAAGATTTGCAGATAAGAAAGACATCGAGTTATATTTCAAGTAAAGAACGAGATGATGATTTAGAGGATTTAGAATTAACTGAAGATATTAATTGACGAAAATTCAAATTTACATAGCAAATTTTCTTTTCAAACAAAACATAACGGATTTTGACAAACATTCATTAATTAATTTATCAATAGAAGATAAATCTAGATATAAATCAAAAGATGATAAATTAGAGAATTTGGAAATATCTGATAATGATAGTCAAAGAAATTCAAGTTTACAAAGTCAAAAAACATTTCAATTGGATTTTAAAGATAAATTATTATTAAGTTCCATTTTTGAAGTTGAAAATTCTTCAAATAATTCATTTGACTCAATATTTATAAATCATATAATTATTGATAAGCTAATTCAATATGTAATTAAGAAACATAATAATAGTAATACTTTCAATCAAATTAACCATTTTATTAAACAAAGATATTACAATTAAATTCAATAGAAAATCTATTAACTTGGCTATAAAACAGTAAAATACACAATATATATGGTTTATTGGATTACTTTATTATTATAAAATTGGTATAAATGAAATAGCACTGAAGTATATGAATTATTTTTGAAAACAACAAAAGGAAATTATGCAATTTTACAAGTTTATCTTGCAAAATGCTATTATAATGGATATGGAATTGAGTGTAATAATAAGCTATCATTTAATTGGTATATAAAATCAGTAGAAAATGGAAGCATTATAGGACAATTTTATTTAGGATATTGTTATGAATATGGTATTGGAATCCAGAAAAATAAAAAGAAAGCTGTTTATTGGTATTATATATAGCAGCTAGTAATGGAAATATAACAGCAAAATGTTATTTAGCAGATTGCTTTAGATTAGGAAAAAGTGTTGAAAAAGATGATAATAAAGCATTTAAATTTTATGAAAAATTAGCAGAAAAAATATTTCAGATGCTCAATATCAACTTGGAAATTGCTATTTTTATGGAATAGGAACAGAAAAAATAAAATAATGCTTTATATTGGTATAATAAAGCATCAGAAAATGGAAATATTATTGCAAAAGATATTTTAAAGAATAATTCAAATATAAATGTAACCAAAGTAAAAGAAATTAAATTTTACTTAGAAATCAGTTTTAATAATTACTTTGAAATTATAACTAAAAAAAATTATAAGAAAGCATTTAAGTATTTTCAAAAAGCAGCAGAAAATAACAATGCTAACGCACAATTTAATCTCGGTAATTTGTATTTTAAAGGAGAAGGAACAGAAAAACATTTAGAAAAGGCCTTTTATTGGTATCAAAAAGCTGTAGAAAATAATAGCAAAAAAGCAATATTTAGTCTTAGTAATTTATATCATATAGGAAAGGGAACAGAAATGAATTTAGAGAAAGCCTTTATTGGTATCAAAAAGCTGCTCAAAATGGACAAGTAGAAGCACAATATATTCTTGGTAATTTATATTATATGGGAAACGGAACAGAAAAAAATTTAAAAAAATCCTTTTATTGGTATCAAAAAGCTGTTGAAAATGGAAATATTGTAGCAAAAAATCGTCTCGCATTTTTATATAAAATGGTGAAGTAACAGAAAAGAATTTTGAGAAGGTCTTTGCATGAATATGATATGCATTTTAATCAATCATTCAAAAATTGCGATATGTCTATCATTAAAACTTTGTTTAAAATTTATAAAGGAACTTGGAAATATTAAATAATTTTATCATTCAAAAACTTCATAAATATTTCAAGATTTTTGGAAAATTTATTTTGTAAGAGAATTTATAAATTATTGTTATCATTGTGCAAATATAAATAAAATTATTCAAAAAGTGATTTATATAGTTTTACTCGAATCAAACTTTACGACGAGATATATATCAAAGAAAGAAGAAATCACATCAAATTGTAATATTTTTCTCAAAATGTTTTTATTAATACTGATTTAATTAATAAAAATTAAAGGAAATTTTGCGGAAGATTATTTGATTGAAGGAAATGAATACCTTTTGCATGGACCTTTATGTTAATGATAAATTTTATAACAACATATTACTGTGTAAATTTTTTTTTTTTAAAAAAATACATTTCGTAGAGTCTGAACTCGTATTCGCGCGACTCTAGTCAATTCGAGTTAAATTTTGATTCGATTCAATATTTTATTAACTCGAATCAAGATTCGAGTAAGTATTCGAGTAAACTCGATTATATTAATTCGAATCTAAGCTCAATGCTTACTCGAGTTAACTACTCGAATTCTTGACTCGAGCTAACAACATAAAATTAGAATGCATACAACGCTTTATTAAGGTACCATACAATTTATTTCTTAAATTATAGCCTTAGTTAACAGATGAAACTTTATTTTTAAAAAAGAAACATGTGCCTTTTTGATAGTATTTTTCCATCAGAAGATAGATAATCGAATTTACATAATTGATGTTTTTCGTGTCGAAAATTAATAATATTTACTAAAATTCCTGAAAGTCAAACAATTCATGTGTTAGTTTATTTAATAAAATCGTTACGGTATTGTGATCATTATATATTGCATTAATTGTTAAGATATCGGCATCGTATAGATTACAAAAAAACAATTTTTTTTTTCTTAAATTTTAATTCACTGAAAATCGTACTAAAATTATTATATGATACACCTTATTTACAATTTTAAATTTTAAAGTTTAATTTCAATACTTGAATTAAAAATTTATAATGTTATTTTAGTTATTTTTTCGCTAAATTTCCAAATTAGGCGATAGCCGTTCCATGAAAAATTGAACTAACGTTAACTAGCATATAGCGGGCTTAAGCCTGATTGGTTGATTTTAAAAATGATCGTCATATAAAAAAGATCATCTACCTTAAATGGATTCGCAGCAACAGGGATAAATTCGCAAAGGTTGAGATAAAAAAATTTCTAAAGTATACCTTCTGTTTTATAAACTATTAAAGTAATTTGGTAAAAAGCAAGGTAATTCAGATCTTAACTAATAAGGGTTTCTTTGCAATATGTTATTTTATATGTATATATTTAGAGAGAGAGAAAAAGAGATTGAGATTTGGAATTTTATATTTTTAAGACTTATTTATTTACACAAATAAAAGAGAAGATTGGATTATTTCTAATAAATAATAGATAATGTACAACTATTCTTTCATGTTTTAAAATTTATTGTATAATTTGATTTAAATTTTTAAACCAAATAACTAATAATGAATTGTAATTTAGATAAATATCTAAATGTATTTTACATTAATATAATTTAATAAAAAAAATTTTAATATATTTTTCACTTGTTACAGATAATTTGATCCATTTTACAGAATATTTTCACATAAATATTAATTATTTCAGACTTAAAAAATTTAATTTTTTATGAAACCCGTGATTTGTTGTTAGCCAATCACTCGAATCCTATACTCGAATTCTGACTCGGGGACAAAAATATTCTTGACTCTACTTGACTTGAGTAAAATTTTTTTGACTCGAATCTAATGACTAGAGAGTCGACTGCACCTCATGAAGCTGAGGATTCTGCTATATCTATCAACTTTTGGCCTTTAGATTTGTTCTGGAAGTTAGTTCTAATTTGATTAACTTATTTACAAATATAATTATAAAAAAACAGTTTTTTTTAGGTGTCTTAGAAAGACTTCATGCATATGAATACGTTACTTTAAAAAGTTATTGCGTCGCCATTATTAAATCTAATATACATGTACAAGAAAGAAAAGTTATGAACTTTATATAATTTATTTATTTGACTGACTTAACTTATTATATTTAATAATATGATAGACTTCGATCAAGTTCAATTAATGGACCGAGCCGTAAGAGTAATTATTGTATAGGATAGGTGTATAAATAAATAAATTTTTTTAGAATTATTGGTTTTTCCTGAAACAAAACCGCTAACCGTTTCGTTTAACCATTTAAAAAATTTGTGGAAAATTTTAGGAATCCGTTGGATATTTTAATGGCCTTCACCGAAGGTACAATAATCCCGATTACAATGTCATTTCACGAAAAACAATATCCAGTAGTATATGTCAACATTGATTGAATAGCAATTTTATAATATAAATGAATCTATACATTAATTAGATTAAATATATTTTTTGAAGGTTTATAGAAAACGCAAAAAGATTATATACTGATGACTTGGTAATGATTTTGCAGAGATGAGATTTATATAAGGCTAATATGATTTTGGATTTTATTATGATTATTTCTTCTCTCTTTTATTCAAAATATAAAATAAAATAAATTTAACGCTTAATTATTTGGTAGTCATTTACGAGAATACCATGCAAGTTGTTCTGATTAACAATTTAACTCATCATATGAATAATGGGTGTCAAGTTAAGATAACGTTGTACGCGCTTATTCTATCACATTGACATGAATCCTATAAGAATAGATCATTGTTTTAATTATATACTCACTTATTCCACAAGCTCAGTTAATTTAGTCATAATAATTTAAATAGTGGTTTTCAACCGACCGTAAATATAATCTTTAATTTCGTTAATAAGATTACATTTCGCTAGTTATCTCTTCAATCTTGATGTCGACAAGTAGGAATGCTGACATTGACCACAGTTGAAGGACAGCTCCGCAATTATTGGAACCGGATTTATTTAATTGTAAAAATCGTAAATGGATTTAAACGGAATTTTATATCCGTATATATTTATAAATGGTACTTTCGGCCTAACCGGATTTTTATCATCAAGGTTTTCGTTTACAAGGATGCGACGTAACGTTGAAACATAGGGTTACCCTCCGTAACATGTGAATAAACAGTTACTTAAAGCTAAATTAAATTCTAAGTTAAAAATTAGTGTAACAATTTAATAATATTAAGAAGTTTTTCTTGAAATTAAAGCAACATGTATTTTCCGCTTTTATATAACAAGATCTTTTTTAGGTGAATATTATTTGAGAAACTAGCTAAGAAAAAATGACAAAGAAAAATTATCATTAAATATAAATTAAATTATTATTAAACAAAAACTTAGTAGTAAAAATAGAGTAATGAATTCATTAGAAAGATGAATTAATAAGTAGGAATATAACTACTTCTATCATGTTCTACGATATTTCCAGGTAAAGTATGTTCCTCATTAATGTGACTAGGGGGCAATGCTTTCCTTTTTTCATTCCATCTATAAATTAAAAATCCACATGCAATAATAATAACTAAAGTCAAAGTTCCTCCTATTGTTGCAATTATAATTTTAATCGTAACTAATTCACTATTAGAATTAACAACAATTATGGAAGCAATTGGTGTTGATGGTTCAGATTTTGTTGTAACATTTGTTAATTCGAATGAATTAACCCATGTAAAATTTCTAATATCCATTATATAAATATTAGGATTCGCTAATGGTAATGGAACAGAATTTGGTTGTGTAATATTGCCTATTATAAAATTAGAATTTATTACAAATTAATAGTTTAACTTTAAATTATTATTATATAAAAATATAAAAATATACTTACCAAAAGCTATAATCATATAATTATCAACCAGGTTAGCTGAATGATATGAAAGTGCTGGTGGAACTTTACCAATATTTGATGTAATTGGTGGTACAGTAAATTCAAATTGCTCGGTTTCCATATTTAAAACAAACATATCTGGAACTACTTGAGCACTATGAGTAATTCCAACAAGAACTTTAGAACCTCCATAAATAATTATTTTGCCGTCTAGTGCTATTTTATTATAAAATAATTATTGAATAAGTTGTTTAAAAGACAATATATAACAAACTATTAAGTACTAACTTATACCTAATACTGCCGTGTGTCCTTTACGATTTTCGATTACGTTTGAAGTTGTCGCTATCTATAAATGAATACATGTCAATTATTTAGATTTAAAAGATTATTACTTTTATTAGCAAAAATACATACTTTTTCTGACCAAGTTAAATAATTTGTATCGTAAAGCATTATTTTCTTAACATCGGCTTCTACTACTCCATTTTCAGATCCTCCAATATAAACAATAACTCCACTTGTCAACAAAGTTGCGGTATAAAGTTGTCTTGGTTCCGGTTGATTAATTGTATTGATTACCCAAGATAATCTAAATGTATTTAAAATAACCATATCATTGAAAGATTTTGTTGTTGGTGAACCTATCAATGAACTATACCCACCAAATATATACATTTTTCCAGAATTATCGATAACACTTTGCATATTTCTTCGCCTTTCAGGTGGTGTTCCTTCGATATTAGGAACATTCCATGATAAGGAATTTAAATTAAATGCATGAATACTTGGTGCAAAAACATCATAATTTGTAATATTTAATGTTAATCCACTAAACAAATAAATAATTTGTTCCTTATCATTTAGCGAAACAGTTCCCCAGCAACTTTTGAATGATAATTTAGAATTTTGCGTGAGGTCAATCCAAGGTGGAGTAGCTAAATTAAATGATCGAGAAAAATCAAGATAAAATACTTCGTTTAAACAAAAACCATCGTCTTTTACTCCACCAAAAAAAAAAAGCTTATTTCCAACGACGACAGAGGAATGAGAATAACGCCCCACAGGTGTAAATGGCTCAACTATAAACAAAAAATAGCTTAACATGAAAATGAATGATTCAAGCAATTTATATCTTTTGCAAATCATATTTTCAATTAAAGAAAAACTCTTTAAAAAAAAAAGAAAAAATTTTGACAATTCATAGAAGTTAATCATGCTACAGTACACTGCGTTACTTTATAAATGTACAAGATCATCCTGTTGTAGTTCCAATGTACAGTACTACCAAGTTTGGGATGTTTTACAACATATTTTTTTTTTTGAATTTAAACAGACAGATTATCTACTCAAAAGATCGAACGACAGGGACCATTAAAAATTTTTTTAACATTTGGGGTATAGAAATGATCGACACAAAATTTGGAAAAGAAATAAGTTTCGGACCCTTTCAAAATTCAAAAATAAAAATATATAAAATTTGAGGAGGTTAGCTATTAAAACGGATCATATGATTTACTATGTTCGTAACACGATTTTAATAGCAAACCTCCCATTTATTGAGGGAGTTGATCGCAGAAAGTCGTTTATTGGAAATACTTTTTTTTTTTAAAAAAAAATAATTTAAAAAGAAAATAAGTTTTTTTATTATTAAATCTTTTTAATAAAATTTCAAAATCAATTTCTAATAAAGAAAATCAAAAAGTTAGTGTAACTATGTGATTTTAATAGCAAAATTTCAAGCGTTACGAAATTAGTGTAGGATAGTAAAATTTTAAGTGTATAATAGCAAAAATTTTAAATAATACATATAAATAAATATTTAAGATTAATTAGTAGGTCGCCCGTAATAAAATCCGACTACCATTTTTTACGGGCGACGCTATGTTTGTCATACATTAACACTATATCACATGATCCGTGTTAACACCCGTGTTTACTTATCGGTTGGTAATTTTTACTGCGGTGGTGTAACCTATCGATCACATCAAAAATCTCGTTTATTTAAAGAGGAATCGAACTTTTCCTTAAAAACCGACAAATAGAGAAAGAATTTAAACATCAATCATAAGAATGCATCCATTTATATATTATTTATTTACTAATTTCTATAAAAAGATTTAATTCAATGTTACATCATTATCCTACCGACGAAGTCAATAGCTTTTTTTCTAGTAAAACTATTTATTCCGCAGTAAATGAACATGTGGAATGATTTTTCACCTGAAATTTAGAAAAAAAAAAATAATACATTAATTGCTAAACTTTAAATCGAGAATTTTGACCATACAACTAATAAGGATCTTTGTTCACAATGAAAAATTAAGAGTCCCTATGTCTCTCTAATCTCATTCATTCTTACTATGACATTTTAACAACTTTTGTCAGCATTGAGATTTGTTTCGATACTGCGCCAACTTCAATAATTCGGCATGAAAAAAAATATTTGCTCAATATCTGGACATATGGTATGTTAAAATGGTAAAGTTTACAGATTTTTTTTTTTTTCTACTTTAAAACGATGTGGCACTGACAGTAAAAATTTGCATATTCTTACTAATTTTTAAATTTTTTAAAACCAAGAAATGTACGGGAACTAATTATATAAGGTTAAAACTAATAAATTTGTATCTAGGAGTGCGTGATAAAATTTTACATAGTAATATTTTTTGGTTAAAATTTAAAAAGTGAACCGGGTAACGTAAACCGAAAATGCTAATGTGCGTGGCCATAGATCAATAATCAAATAGAACGATCAATTGTGAATTTCAAGAATATTAGACCAAAATTTTTGTCAATTAATCTCTTCCTAACCTACTTTTCAAACATATATGGGTCATGGACTAGCAAAATGTACCTCCGAGGAAATCTTACTTTTTTGAGAAAATTACAGATCAACATAAAATTACCTTATTTTTTAACCCCTGAATTTTAGTTTATTTTTAGCATAAAATGCAGTATGTCGATCAATTTCAAAATTGTTTGTTTGTCAGACACAATAAACTTTTGTCCTACCATGTCTAACTTTAATAATGATAATGATAAAGAAAATTTTTTTCTTTCCATTGAACATACTTCTTTAGAACAATATGAAGATAACGAACTTATGCATATAGTTATTAATGACTTACAACAATTTTTTTCTTCTGCTATTTGTACTTGTCATAACAAAAAAGAAAAATGTTTTGAAAAAGTTGGGTTTAAAGCTTTTCTC